GCCTTTCCCGTGTTTTTGTAGCCATTTGGATTCTCTTGAGAGCAGTGGTTCGGCATCTGGTTCGAAGTTAATAGCTTGGATGTGCAAACCGATTTGGCCAAGATTCGTTATGTTTATAGTTTTAAAAGTTAGGATTTGTTGACGCTGAAGACTTTTAAGGAAATGATCATGATAATAAGAATGATGTTGTAGTTGTGAAAGAGAAAATGACAAAGAGAGAATAAGGTTAGAATAAGTGAAAACTGTAAAGATTGAAGAATCTTCCTTATCCAACTCCTTACATAAAAGATGATTGAATCTAATGCCACTGTAACCGGCTTTTATACAAAAAAGAAATTGAATTTCATACTTTATCTAATACGTGATCTAATACCTTACATGATAAGCAAGTAGATCCAATGTTGTTGTTCTTATTATTCATCTACATTTGCTTATCCAATAGGCATGAATTGATTCCAAATGTGCAATATCTTAGAATACTTTAAAAATGCCTGAAATCGCATGAAAAATAAGTACAGATTATCGTACTTTTAATAGAAGTAGGAAGGAGAAAAAGAACGTGTAGTGGAAGCGCCAATTTCTGAAGTTGTACAAATATAAATCTCATGAATCAACTGCCAGGTGCCACTCTGGGCTTCGATTCATGAGAAATGTTGCGTTCTGATGAGAAATGATGGTCTTTTAAAATGATCATTCGGTCGTTATTAATGGCATAGTCTAGAATTACACCGCAATACTCGCACTCTCTCTCTCTCTCTCTCTCTCTCTCTCTCTCTTCTCTCTCTCTCTCTCTCTCTCTCTCTCTCTCTCTCTCTCTCTCTCTCTCTCTCTCTTCTCTCTCTCTTTCACTCTTTCACTCTTTCACTCTTTCACTCTTCACTCTCACTTTCACTTCACTCTTTCACTCTCTCTCTGACTCTCACTCTCTCTCTCACTCTCTCACTTCACTCTCTCTCACTCACTCACTCACTCACTCACTCAACTCACTCACTCACTCATCGCTCGCACACACACACACACACACACACACACACACACACACACACACACACACACACACACACACACACACACACACACACACACACACACACACACACACACACACACACACACTGAAAATATAACCGAAATGTCGTCTAAACATTTTCCCAATATTCATAAAGTGTTTCATGAACATCGTATTTCAGCTTTCTTGCTCAGCGTTCACTCGTGCACTTGGGCTTTAGCTATATATGTACTATTCAGTAGGTATGTACGTTTCGAGAGCCATACGATAAATGAAATCCATTCGATACTTGTCAATAGAAGCTGGACATTAATTGGCTTTCGACCTTCTAGTTATGGCGCCTAATTTTGTCTTCCTTTACCCTGTTTTTTTCCTTTTATTCATTTTGACAATGTCTGACTTCAGTTAACATTTTAATATAAGACTCTACCATACCATATTGGTACTATATATGTAGAGCACAAATATCCTGTAAGCATTTGAACGGAATGTTTCGACGGTGATACGGAATCGTTACTGCAGCATACATACGAAATTGTCAACAAACCTGTTAAAAAAATGGATCGCCATTTTATGTGCATAATTACGTTTCTATTTCATAATACATAGAACATAAATCATTAAGATTAATATATTTAGATTTACTCTTAGTCACATCTCCAGCAAGGATATTCGAAGCTGATTTTATGACACTATCGAAAGGCATGCACAGGTCATCTTAACGAGTGCTTTTATGCAGTTGAAAGAGTCGCTGCAGTGAATGTGTTAACCGCTGGGGAGGTCGCTGGAGTGCCTCATGAGGTTGCACTGCGCAACAAATATCTCTATTATAGAGGTGTTTTATCTCTCACATACTGTATTTTTACACACACACATATTCACACAGATATACATCACACATACATATAAATCACAGCACATACATCACACACACATATACATCACACACACATATACATCACACACACATATACATCACACACACATATACATCACACACACATATACATCACACACACACACACACACACACACACACACACACACACACACACACACACACACACATACATACATACATACATACATACATACATACATACATACATACATACATACATACATACACACACACACACACACACACACACAACACACACACACACACACACACACACACACACACACACACACACACACACACACACACACACACACACATATCACAGCCATCATATGGAAATATTGCAGTGATCATAACCTATCAGTGTCTGTATTTGTTTCAGGTTCACAACCAATGGAAAGTTATTGTCTCAGGCAACATAAATCATACTAATTTTTTATATTATTTAGTTTTGTATAATATTAGCTCTGTACATATTAAAATCAAAATCATAATAAACTAAAGGAATATGTGGGATGTGATGTTCTTAATTGCATTTAAAATGGATCTAAGACGATACGTAAACTTGGATCTTTTTTCATAGGTCTCGACTTTGGAGAACTCGTATCTACACATGAACTGTCATTTCAGATGCATTGCAATCGTCTTCTCATGTACTCAGTTACATGAATGTTTGTATCGGTACAAGTCCGCACTAACATTATCTTTGTACAGACATAATAAGCTTTTCCTCTATACTGTATTTTCTGTAATCAACATTGCCAGCTTTTGGTCATTTTTCAGAACTAATATCTACCATATAGTCCTGTTGTATTTTTTTTCTCTCACTACTTTTCTATCTCCTCTTATAAAGTCACAAAATATACATATATATTCTGTGTGTTCATTGTGTCTTTACCAGTCATATATACACTGTTGAGTGTGTGTGCTAATTCCCTGTTATTGCATTAGCCAAGCCAAAACAATACACATGATATATAGATGTTAAAAAATATTTTTCCCAATAAAATCATTCCATCAGTAGTTGGATTTTCATTTATCCTTTTTATGATTTTTAAAGGTGAAATGGAGAAAATGAATATTACAAAAAAAATGAAGTGAATGCTATGAGACAATGAATACAGGTTATTCGAAGCTACGTTAGAGTAGGATTCTTAACCTTGGGTCCAAGAACCCCATTGCAATGGTTCCCAACCTTTTTCATTCATTGGCCCCCGACCAATATATAATAATCCCCATGGTCCCGTTCAGTTACTCATCTTTTCAGATTCAGTTATTGCTAGTTATGAATAGAGTAATGGTGTCAATAGCTATGGGACAAGAGCATTTAATGAAAAATTCCAGTTTATTAATATGTGTGAGATATGTGCAGGCATATATATTATATATATATATATATATATATATATTATATATATATATATTATTATATATATATATATATATATATGCATATTACATATATATACATATATATATAGATATATATGTTGTGTGTGTGTGTGTGTGTGTGTGTGTGTGTGTGTGTGTGTGTGTGTGTGTGTGTGTGTGTGTGTGTGTGTGTGTGTGTGTGTGTGTGTGTTGCATCAATGCGCCGTGGCCAGTAGTGCAATGGCCCGATATGAGAAAGGGAGAGAGAGAGAGAGAGAGAGAGAGAGAGAGAGAGAGAGAGAGAGAGAGAGAGAGAGAGAGAGAGAGAGAGAGAGAGAGAGAGAGAGGAGAGAGAGATGCAGGGGGGGGGGGGTTATCAAGTAACTAGAGGATGTGTATGGTCTTAGTTTCTGGCATTGCTTCACTTATTTCTTTAATGACATTATAGCTTATTCTCCCTTTTGCCATTTTACTACTATTTTTCTCACTTAAACTGAGAATGTACTCGTTACTTCTTTGAGTGTGTTGTAGGTTTTGCATTCAGGGAAATTTCTTACACTTTTAAGATTAACTCTCTCATTTTGCCCTGTCTTTTATAATTTTTTTGCTTCCATTAATTTTCTTGTTCTATTTCCAATTTCTTTAAGTGTATGGATTTCTACTTGCTCATGCAGTTTTCTTTCCAAAGTCCAGGGATATTTCTATATCTGATATTGGTCCACAGTCCACAGTATTTTTATCGCAAGTGCAGCACTGTATGTCTACTACGGATTGGCAACTTTATATCCACCTACTTCCAGCCGCCACTTGGATCATAAGCAGTTTGCAATCTCTTGACCTTTATTTTTTCATATTGTGTGGTCTTTTTGGATGGAATAAATTTAGCTTGCGCAAAATATGTCAGACTGTAGTGACACGCAATTATCTTTATACACCTATAAACTCATACTTATATACATATACAAATAGATACATTATTAATATATCTATCTACAATTTATCTATATCTAATTTATATCTATATGTAATCCATATACTTATACCTATCTCTAGTATATTCTATACATACATACACCTACACATACACATCTGTTCATCTATACTTCTATTTAGTTAGGTAGATGATACATATAGATATAGATCAGTGGTTCCTCACCAGTGGGATGCATAGGGATGAAAGCAGGTAAGAAGGTAGGCCGCAAAATCTTGGGGAAAAATATTTCTGCCTACTTTGCTAAGTTCGTAAGTGTTCATATTAAGAATACACTATGAAGCCATTTCTTCAAGAATATTGTATCACAATTAAGTAAATAAAGTCTCAAGAGATCTTGTTCTCTCTTGCCCAATAATTATGTCCGGGGTCATGGATGTCGGAAGTTTTGAGAAAGAGGTCACAAGATGGTTGAGAACTATATACATCTGTATAGAATTGCATATATACATGCAAACATACATATACATAAATATATATACCAAAGTTGTATTTGTGACAGTGTGAATGTTTCTGAATAAATATACTGTATATACAAAAAAATAATATACAAACATTTTTACTTTTTCTTTTCTTTTCTTATTATACTCTAATGCCCTTTGTGTTTTCTACTTAATATTATATGCATGTGATCTTGATACATATTCTCAGAATAACAACAATCACTTTTTGAACATCTGTTAATTGTAGGACCATAAATAAACATGTTATTAAAACAAAGCAGAAACATTGTAGTATGATATATTTTCTTATTTTACCATTGTACAGCACTGCTTGTAAAATAAAAACATTATTTACAATCTTCACTGAGATGATTTCCCAAGCAAAAATTCAGTACCAGTGAAAAATTATTTGTTGTCTGGGTATTATGCATAGTACAGGGGGCTGGTATGTGCTTCTCAGGATGGCTTTATCAGTGCAAGTTAACAACCAATCCTAAAGAAGTAGAACTAGCATAAAATATAATGGTGCAATACGACTTTTACACATTTTTGTGGATGTGATCAGGCACTTGGTGCTCAAACTGAATGTCAACACCAAACATAGTAAGTGACAAAATGGCTAATTCCAAATTTTCTGGAGTTGTTTGCATGGGTTAGGCTCTAAAGTACTCATCATAATTATTTCTTCAAGGTGGTTAACAAGTTGTAAAATATTTAAGCTAAAAACAAAGTTCCACAAAATGCTGGAAATTCACATTTCCATACTTGCTCAACCAAGAAACCTGTAAATTAAATCTGAACACCACTACTCTTTAAGAGATTAAGACATGTATCTACTTGCATAATGAACTATAAGTGTTGCCATTATTACTACGCAAAACAGAGTACATGCAAGGGGGACCCATGTGGCTCTGCTATTAATATTCTACAAATTTCGTTTCATTTAATAAAATACAGAAGCTTTATATGAACTGGATTGTTATCTGGGAGGCTCAATTTTTCATATACAATTTAAAAACTTGAACTGCTCTGATGGTAAGATCATTATAATAAGAAGAAGTTTAAATGTACACCTTCAAATAAACCAATGTTAAAATTCATACTTTGGTAGCTGGACTAGGTCAATACACAGTAAAGAAAGACATTGCTTCTAACACAACTGCAGATTAATTGTACTATGCTAAATAAGAGAACTATGCTGACAAAAGTGAATCAAGCTCAGTTATAACAAGTGGCTATAACTATTGTCACTACTGTTGGGTCTTCCCCAAAAAGATGCTAGAAAGGAATTTTTACCTTAATGAGAGCCCCTTAAGAGATAATCTCTAAAAAGGGCCTCCAAAAACGTCACTGGGATGGGGGAGAGTCAACCATACGATGATGTGAACAAGGAACTTCAGAATGTCTATCTGTAAACTTAAGTAATCCAGCAACATATAGGTGTAACCTCAAATACTTAACTGTGCACCACCAGTGTGATGGCATGGTCACATACACAGGCTAAAGTAGCACTGACAGTTCAACATTAGGTAGGCTTTTGAGTCCCTACTGAACATCACAATGGTGGAAAATCCACTGTGTTTCAGACTTGGACAACCCTTATACCATGACAAAGGGGGTATTAGTGAGCAACAATGGAGAGGCGGAAAGAGAGATACCGAGAGTGAATGAATGTGAGTGAGTGTAACAGGAGAGAGGAAAGAGGATAGAAGAGGGGAGGAGAAAAAGGGGAGAAGAGAGTGAAGCAGAAAACAGGAAGCAAGTTAAAAGGGATGGGATAGCCCTATAAGCTCAAAACTACTGAAAAATATTTCTATATTAAGAAGTCAGTGTTAAAATTTGTTGATTGTGCAAGAGATATGATCATCAATTCAAACAATGATCTCACACTTGATCCTCTCAGTCCCATTAGTCAATTGAGCATTACAACACAACTGAAACCTAACACACTTGCTAATCTGATCTCGCAAACACACTGAGCTCTGTTTCACACTAAGCTGCATTCTTTAATCCAATGTTAAGTGTATACTGCTTCAAACCATTATCATTTTTATCAAATATAAATGATTCCTTCTCATACATATAAATACAGGCGAGCTTGAACCACGAAGAATTAAATGATTCAAACTATAAAAAATGCAGCTAATACATACCACAACCTCTTGTGCTTAATGTCATTCCTCATTTACTCTTATCTAGCAAGTTTAATCTACAGGACAGCAATATGCTCTCATCTTTTTTTTTAGCAAATCATAATCATACAAATGTCGTAATCAGCAGTACTTTGTGTGCAGTGAAGATATTTAAAAATCTTTTTTTTTTTTTCATTCAATTTTGTTTTTTACATAAATATTAACCTATCTTCCCAGCATCATTCCAGCCTCTTATCATGTCGAATCTATGAGCAAAACTTTCTTTTCTTATGGGGCTGTGTTGCCAACTCATATTACCGAAGAAGTAAATGTACAAGTATATAAATATGATCCCACAGAAACTGGGACCCACCTTCTATCGACAGGCTCGTAGTACTTTAATTACACTACTATTTACAATAATTCATAATCACAACATTTTTCAAGACTGGAAACCCAAAATATAACTATATAGCAGGAAATAAATAATTAATGACAATTAACATCAACAATAACATAAGACAAAAAAAAAAAAATAAATAATAATGGAAGCTTGATCAATAAATCACCAGAAAATATGTTGCCATCTCTCACTACTATTAGCATTTCTTTTCACATGACCCCATTATACAGCTCAACCGGAACAGACAAATGAACAAGAAAAATAAATAAATTTAAAAAGAAAGAAAGAAAAAAAAAAAAAAACACTTTCCCCACAATGCATTCTATGAACACTGAGATGTCCAAAATATCAGAGTTTCATTACTCTCGCTCTCTCTTCCCTTTGCCCTCCCCCCTTCTCTTCGCGCCATTCTACTGCAACGAGTCTGCATCTTGCATTGCGAGTCATCTTGAACGTGGCCTTCTTGCACTTCATCAACCGAATTTGGCTACATGCAGTTGGCTTGGTTGATTTGTTTTTCTTCCCCATCAGCACAGAGAGGCATGCATGAGGGTATATCTACAAAGCCAAGGAGTCTTCCAAGAGCTGCTTGCTCTCGCGAATGTGGGTCTTCTTGTTGCCGGTGGCAGGAGAGGCCGAAACTGGACGGCCAGCATATCTGAAAGGTATTAAGAGATATCTTTTGTAAATATATGCCTCTCACGAAAGAGAGAGAGATTGATAGGTTAAAGAAAAAGAGCAACAGAAAGACAGAAAAAAAAAACAAATAAATAAAAACATTAAACACAAAAGACAGGAAAATGGGGAAGAGAAAAGTGTACTGAATATGCCAAAGGAAGTATGTGTTAAATAACTGAAAGAGAAGCATGATACAAAGGATAAAAAAACAGAAATCATTTAGTGCAAGAAAAAAACTGTGATATTGGAAAAATATTCGCAACTAGGCTATAAATTTCCAATGGACTGACAATCCATTCTGTTCAAATCTTTACAACTAAAATACAAATACAGTATCAACGATCAGTTTTATAAACAACTTTTTTTTTTTTTTTTTTTACTTTTTACAACAGTACTTAAAAGATATTCATGCATTTATTTTACTTTCTTACTTAGAGTAAATCCATAAAAATTGAATGGAACATATACAAAACATGCTCAAGATAAACCAAACATAACCAAATAATAAAAATAAAACAAAAAATCAATGCACTATGGTAAAATGACGAGACTGTAGACCTTGCATCACAACTTTCCCTAAGGACTTCTAGGAGCTTCTCACTCTCCAGAGAGCGAGGGGAAAATAAAGACCTAAAAGAAATTATTCCAATCTCATACTGACTTAAAAAACGGTTCTGAGGAATCTGAGGGAAAAAAATTTGTCACAGAAGTTAATCACAGTACATATGCAGTTATCAACACTGCTCTTTGTCATGTATACATATATAAAGACCAGAAGAACGAGATCATACAGGTCTATCTTGGTATATGTTCCTTTTACAGGACTCTGTTCTCTATCAACTGTGGAGATTTTAATCAAGTTTCTCCATTGTGATATTTTTTTCTAACGTATTCAAAATGGGATTATATCTTGTAATTTTCATGACATACTCCATTATCTTGAATAGTACACATTGCTTCATCTTGGAATATTATTTTATTTTCATATACATTTCAGATATGGAAGAAAATGTGAGCATACTATAACAGAAGTAAAGTAAAGAAACAAAAGGGGAGGAGGAGGGGGTTATAATGACAATAACAAAAAAAACATGTTAAACAAACAAAAGAAACAATCAGTTCTTTAAATTCAAAAACAAATACCCAAACAAAGAAAAATAATAACATGTAATGGAATCTTCCTCAACCTCGCTTCCTGACACAGATGAGCGTCATTCATTATTACTTAAGCTAAACCGATGCAAGCCTTCAAATCTCAGCCTAATCCTTGTACACAAGCTCTTCTCATACCTTACTCACTGTCAGTCTTGGTACGTGCATCTATGATACATTGCCTTATTTTAACCGTGAAAAAAATAGACTTTTGTGTAAAATTAGGAAGATGAATTTCTACAAGGCAAGCAGTAATGTCTCTGAATACAGAACCAAACCAAAAATGGAAGAAAAACAACAAAAAACAGCTGCTTAAAGAATGATGACCAAAGAATCTGTACGGGTAGCAAGTACTCTTTTGCGAGTAGATGCTCACCTCACTGGTCGTATAGGTTTGGAGGCTACATGAACCTGACTTGGAGCTGGGCTCTCAGGTTCAGGTGGGCCCGATGATGGGAAGAACCAAGGGAACCAATACTCGTACCAAGACTGGTCCTCTGAATCGTGCGCAACCTTGACACGCTCGCTACTGAGGGTTAGCATTATTAGCAACAAACTCCTTAAATATTTCACGAGAAAAAGTGTTAGTTCTTGGGTCTTTTTCAATTCCCGTCAACAGACAGCACATACACATCCCACTGAATGTTACTCTCAGTGTTCAAGTAATATTTTTCAAGGAAGATTATGTAGTTCTCCCTCTCCCCTTTGTGCAGAAATAACAGGCCATCAGTTCTGACACAGTAACAAAACCTTAACAAAATCTCAAAAGCCATGCAGCAAACTTAAAACAATATAAAAACCTAAGATTTCATGACTTTTTCAATTTGCAAACATTGCTATTCCTACACCAAAAAATTATTCTCCCCCTGACATTTAATGACCAAATTCCATATGAAATATATTGCTTCAATAAACATCTTTCTTTTTCCAATTAGGACCATACTCTTTTATAAAGTTCATTTTTCCAGTTGTGACTATACTCTTTCATAAAGTTCAAGTTCCATTTTGCTAGGAAGTATTTCCTCATAAAGACAAACTTCGGTGTCAATAATCAATTTTTACCTTATATATCATATAGTCATTAACTTAACTCATTCAGCACTTGACATTTACCCTGCATTCACACAGTCATTCAATCAATATCTGTAATATAAAAACTCACATTCCCAAGAGAACTCTAGAAAATATTTTGGCTCTATACCCTAACCTGTCATGCATGTGTTCTCAGTGTTTTTCATATAAAATCATATCTGTATATAGTAAGCCTTTCACACAGAATTCAAGACAACTGATGATAACTTTCACACTATAAAGACCTCTTTCATTTCATTAGCAAAACAAACATAACATTCTTTAAGGATATGAGGATTTCTGTCATTAAGCATTCATTCAAGAAATAGATGCCAAAGTACTTACGAAATGTGACGTTCATGGTTCAAAGCAGTGGAAATGCGAGGCTGGATATATGACCATGCTCCCATGTTCTTGTGTTCTTCCTGTGACCAGACCAACTCAGCATCTGCGTACTTGGCACACTCCTTCATGACTAAGTCATATGGGAATGGTGCAATCTGAGAAGGTAACAGTTATTGATACAGGTGCTGGAAAGGCAAATTATGTAATGCACTGATCTTACTATCAAAATATGAGGGGGACTTCTCCACATGTCTATTCTCAAAGTGCATATGAAGTAGCATTGGCAAAGCATATCAACAAATATACTACTAAAAATAGATTTTTTTTTGCAATAATCATATTCCAGTTCATCTTGAACTTAACAGCAGACAAAATGAGTAATGAAAAGAAAATTATATGTAACAAAATTTAAACTCGAAGTGAAATTTCCTCACTTGTTCCACACGTGCAATAGCAATCTTTTCCTCTAATCCTGCCTCTTTGCGAGCTTGAAGAAGGTCATAGTAGACACGCCCAGAGCAGAAAATGAGTCGCTTGACATTGGCTGGGTTGTTTGAGGCAGGACCAGCTTCAGGGTACATTCTAGAAAATGAGATGAAGCATTGTTATAAAGGAATTATGGAACTTATTAACTCAAACCAAATTAGATGACAGTGACTGTGGCAGTTCAAGAGAGGTGGGGAGGGAGGGGGAAGAAAGGGGAGAAAGGGGAGGGGAGGGGAGGAAGGGGAGGGAGGGGAGGGGAGGGGAGGGGAGGGGAGGGAGGGGAGGGGAGGGGAGGGAGGGGAGGGGAGGGAAGGGGGAGGGAAGGGAAAGGGAGAGGAAAAAGGAAAAGGAAAAGAAAAATATGATTCAGACAATGGGAGAGCAGCCAAAAATATGTTAGCTTGGAGGTCTTACCTCTGGAATTCTGTTCCCTCAATCATTTCATCAAACGAGGATCGCGCTTCAGGGAGTCGGAGAAGAGACTTGGGGGTCATGATGATCAGGGGTTTACGGAATGGCAGAGCAATCTGTCGTCGCAAGATGTGGAAGTAGCTGGCAGGTGTCGAGCAGTTGGCAACCTGTATCCCACAAGGACAAGATAGTGTTGATGATGTAAAAGATTACCGAGAAACATGTGGTCTAAAAACTGCAGCAAGAAGAAGAGGGAGGCCTGAATTTCACTGAGTTTCACTAAAGCCAATCTAAAACAAATCAAAACGAACAAATCAAAACAAGTCTTACAATCCAGTTGATGTCAGACAGCTGCCTGATGGCGAAGTCATCCGAGAATGGTGGAAGAACATCAGGGTCATCAGAAGTCATTTGTAGGAAGCGCTCAAGGCGAGCACTGGAGTGTTCTGGACCCTGATAGGCAGAGCAAAATATTCAATTAAGGGTCTTAGGTATCTACAGAGCAATCAAACATATCTGAAATATAGCAATTTTTTTTTTTTACAAAATTGCAACAAACAAATAAAGTTAAATTTTGCGTTTTTTACTCTATCATTGTTTGGGATAAGAAAAAACAAAAACATCCCACTCACCATTCCTTCCATGCCATGGGGCAGCAGGAGAACCAACCCAGACTGTCGGATCCACTTGGACTGGCCAGACGACATGAACTGGTCAATAATGCACTGTGCTGTGTTGTTGAAGTCACCAAACTGAGCCTCCCAGATAACCAGTGCATTGGGGTTTGTCATCGAGAAGCCAAGCTCAAAGCCGAGGACAGCATATTCCGACAATGAGGAATTGCAGACAGTGTATGGGGCTTGGTCACGGTAGAGGTTTGCAAGTGCATTGTACTGGGACTTGTCCACCTGAAGTGCATAAAAAGAGAATTATACATATTGAAAAAAAAATTTATGTAGTTTCATAAAATGTTTGTGGTATATAAAATTTGCTACAGGGTATAACACCTACTTCTCAATGCATGAACTCAGCACAATAGAAACTCTTCTCTCAAATAACAACCCTGAAAAAGCACGCATGCAAGCACACACTCGTGCATAGGCAATTGTATACCAGCACTCGTGCATAAGCACACAGGCACAGGCACACACACACACACACATATATATATATATATATATATATATATATATATATATATATATATATATATATATATATATATATATATATATATATATATATATATATATATATATATATATATATATATAATATATATATATATATATATATATATATATATATATACTATATAAATATATACATACATATATATATACTATGTATATATACATATATATATTGTGTGTGTGCGTGTGTGCATGTGTGCGTGTTTTACTCAACAAGAAATAGAAGTAGGTACAAACATTTGCACTTCAGTGCAAAGGCAAATACTATTTACAGGGAATCACCCTCATTTGATACATTTAAAAAATTGAAAAGCAATTTCTAAAAGGGAAAACTGATCAAATTAATCAAAACATGAATCAATCACCACAAAATGTGAGCATTAAGATCTAAATCATAAATTTTGTAAATATCAATTCATCAACAAAGAAACAAACAAGTAATCCAATGACTACAGTATCAAAAACTGGCTAGTGGCTAGTTGTTGGCATCAGCAGTTTCCAAGTTTGTGTCCAGCTGATTTGGTGTTTCAAACATACACTGGGCACAGTTTGTGTTTATAACCAATGTTTTAAAAGGTTGAAGTTTCCTGTCGCTTTAGGTGTTCACAGATAATAAAGACCCTAAATAAATGATGTTGCTACTGTGGGAGAGAGATAAGCCCCTTCCAACAAGCCAAAGGTATGGGGTATATCTTTACGCAGTGCCATTCACAACCTGGTCCATCGTGGCCACAGTACATCAAGCCAAGCATGTTAAAAGGTTAAATGAAAAAAAAAAAAAAAAAAAAAAAAAAAACTATAAATCCTTATGAATAAATATGGTCAAATTACAAAGAATTTACCACATGAAAAGTTGCTGACTAAATGGCAATATATATCGTTGTCAACAAATCTTCAGGTATTAAATGTATAAAAAATATCTCAAACATTCCTAGTAACAAATGGCAGAGAATTAAAAAGACAAATGACTTAGGTTATCAACAAACTAACAGAACATTATTGGCTTCTAGATTTTCTTGTATCATACCAAAAGGGGCAAAGCTTTAGCATTGTCACCCCACTGGAACAATGCAAATCTAAGGATAAATTTAGTTGAACATATTAATACTCAAAGGGAAAACTGACTTCACAAAGGGAAAATACCTACAACTTGCATTCATTCCAACTTTTCAAATAAAGCATGCTTGAAGTTGAATGCTACTTTGAAGATATATCTTAGAAAATTACCCAGAAACCTTTCTCATAATCAGAGTATCAAAAAGTTCAAGAAAGGAAATCATATCGGGATAGTACTAAAAATATATCTTCAAGCCCTTGCAGTTCAGTACAAATAGTTGCCACAGCAATATGAAGATGCATTCATTGTGTGTTAACTTGGTTAAAAAACAAAAATCATATATTCAACTCAGTATATAAATGGAAAGATAATTTTACATAAAAATATTGTTCATATTATGCACACAATAATAATAATAAAAAAATCAGTAGCTTCAAAAAGCACCAACACAACTGAAGCCAAATGCTGTTACACAAGTCATTTTCTATAAGCAAATAAACACAAAAATTCAAACAGACACTAGGATGTCACTGTCATCTACCAGCTTACAGATGTGTCTTTAAATGCCTGCAATACATACATCAGTGTCAAAAAACAAAGAAGTTAAATTTTTTTTTTTCTTTTTGACTTTCCTAACATTTACAATATCCAAATTACCTAAATTCAATGCCATTCAATTTGCAACTATTGGTACAGTATGAGCATAACATTGTCATGCTAATAATCTAAAGAAAAAAATAGCTAGCAACTGCATGCTTCTTTCAATCATCTACAGTAACACAAGATCAGTATTTGATGGCTAAAGAGACTTTTAACCCATTGGATCCAGGTTACATGACTATCGTGTCAATTTGGCTGTGGGCTGGGTGATAGAATGTGCTGTCATGGAAAAATTTGGCTGTTGGCCAAGTGACAGGAATATGCTATTATGGAAAAATTTAACTGAGCCAGGGTGACAGGAAAGACTCTCCATGAGTGCAAAAAGCTCTTGGAGGAAGATTTAACTTGGGTATTTAGGAAAGGGCTCTTGCAGTATTTCCTCCTGTGAGTGAGTTTAGAATGAACTGTGAGCCATGGCTGGAAGAGCCCCTGCTCCTCAGAGGACAATACGTCCATGCTCAGGATCCTATTCCTGCCTACCATGACCAGCGGAGGAGGGTGAGTTACAGAAAATTGAACAAACTATTAAAAAGTGATACTAATATCAAAATGCTAATTATTGTTAATGTTATTGCACAGAGTTGTAAACTATCTAGACAGATAATATGGGGACTTTGCAAGAAACATTCTATTACCTTCTAGATACAACCTATCAAATGACAAATTAGCCCTTGGAAGATGGCAAGAGCAAAAATGCTTTATCAGAAAAATCAATAGCAACATTGTAAAAGGGAGGCAAGGAGTCTTGATCCTGCACATGAGTGTTCATGCAGTCCAGGCCCTACAAGCCAGACATCCAGTAGAGTTGACACTTATGCCTAATGCCCAGATTTTGGGCCACATCTGGGCAGCTAGGAATCTGGATTCCATGAGTTAATAGCTAAAATGTTTGGTTTCTTATATCAAAATATATCCCACTCTGACGGGTGTGCAGCTTGTAGGCAAGGTGCAAACATTCATATGGTTATTTTCTGTTTTTGCATTATCATTTTTTTTTTTTCATTTTCCAATGTCTATATTTTTTAATGAATCCAAGAAATCCAAAGGCATTTCTATTAAAAAATTATTGCCACCATGAATGCAGTACTATTTGTCAAGAAAAAATGACCGCTATATACCATTCCTGACTTTAGATTTTTTATTTAACTATGGTTTGAATTTTGGATCTTGAACCTTCACCATGCTAGTGATTTGTGGTACAATATAAAGGATTCATACTGAATAAATTTAAACAAAACAACACAGAAAAACAGAAACAGGCATACTTAGGTTTCTCCTTGTTCTTCCCCTCTGTTTTATTTATAATGTGATAAAATACTCGTGTAATGCAGGGTAGGAGTTCAACTAACGTTGTTTCTTAAATTTAGCCAACGCCAGGTAAGCTGCATTAACACAACCACAATGAATAACTCCCAGTGAAAAATGCTCTAACTGCTGGTTGGTAGCTGTAGCAGCGAATGCCCACTGTCAGGGCTTGTTGGGCAACCCTATAGGAGCTTAAGCCAAGAACACAAGTATTTTGCATATGAGACACCTGGCTACGGTCCCTATTCTCGCCACGCCAATGGTGAGATGTCCATAATTATGGGTTAAGTCCATTTTTGACATTTTTGATGGTATAATAAGGTTATTTATTTTCATTTTTTTTGTTTTTTTCCTTTTCTTTCTTTTGTTTTAACCTAATAATGGCATAGTTGCCAGGGCCATACTGAGTAATGTATTAGAAATTCCTTTTAACTAATGCAGCAGAGTCAGCTGCTCAAATGAAATATCTGAGTCACTGGAAACAAAATTGTCCTGCTCTCCATGCTCTTGGCTGAAGCATCAAGAAGGTTTCAAGCTTAGTTTTAAGGGATAGTTGCCAGGGCCATACTGAGTAATGTATTAGAAATTCCTTTTAACTAATGCAGCCAGGACCAAACAACTGCACAAGTGTAAAGCATGCACAAATTACAAGCAGGCTTGACCACACGACTTTATCACAACATTAGGGTTATGAAGTGAGAGAACACCATCCAGCATCTCCTAGCGTGAATGGGTTAAATCCAATTTCTTTAAAATTTCATCTAATTTTTTTGTTTTTAAATGGGGAGAAATTATATATGATGCATTTATCGCATCTGATCTTGAAACCTTTACCAATGGGTATGCTCTCAAAATGAAAACAGAAAGAAGTCGACTTCCTCCCATTGGCCGCACTTCTTCCATCTGGCATTGTGAATACAGTACAAGATTCTCAGAATGCCATCCGAGGATACTTATTACCCATTACAAATACTGCCAGTACTAATGCATGATTAAAAATGCTTCTCAAAGCAAAGAACTGAGACTACCCAACACTTCAATCATAAGCTACTGCTGCTATACATGATCTGAATTAATTTTTGAAGACAAGACTGTTTTGCTACTTTTACGTATTTACCAACTTTTGACAATAACTGATGAAATTTTCAATCCCCAATTTTCTCTATATAAAAATTTTTCTTTTAAGAGCTTTCATAATGTGAATTTAGCAACTTCTGCAAGGACAGAGTTGGCACAAGTGATGTAGATTTATCAAACCGAAGTTCATCTGTAATTTTATGCCAATCATATCAGAAGTCTTTAATGGTATTGTGATGTAAGTATAGAATGTTCATGATCTAATTCCTGATTGCCATGACTGGTAGCAAAAGTTGTATAACAAAGTTGAATATCAGGAACAAATAAAAACATGGCACAAATAATAAAATATTACTTATTGATATTATTACTGAACTGAGTTATGGACTACCTAGAGAGATGATATGGAATCTGTGCAAGGAAAACAGTCTATTACCATCTGGATAAAGAATATCAAATGACAAATACAGATATTGGCAAATGGGAAAAAAGGCTTATGCAGAAAAAGAGAAAACAACATTGCAAAGAGGAAGCATGGAGTCTTGTCACTGCACAGGAGTGTTCATGTGCACCCAGCCTACAAGTCACACTCTTGATACACTAGCTTCTCACGTAGGCCTAATACCTGGATTTTGAGCCACATGCACGTAGTGAAGCACCCAAATCCAAGGAGTTAAGGGTTGGTGTTTAACAAACAGTAGACCAACCCATAAACAAGTAAGATTCTCCCTATTGAGATCATACTGTACCTCTAAACACAATCAAAGTACATACCTACATATTCAGACAGGTATTAGTTGTCAAACTACAATTTTTTCAAAAGAGTCTTACGGTTCAACTCATTATCAATGTTTATCATACAGCTGTGTCATACAAATGGTACATTACAGGTTTTTCACTGAACAAGTTAATCCACTCAATCCAGAGCAATGTCCTATCCCATCATGGAAGCCTATCCCAGAATGATAGCCCATCGTGCCGTGTGAGGTCAGACCTGCTCACAGCTGCACAAGGTTTAGCCCTGGCTGTATTCAGTCAGGAGAATCAGCCCTTCAAATGTAGGCTTAAAAGCCTCTTTTTAGCCTCATTGCCTAAACAATTATTCAAGTGACAGACAAGCATGTAGAGAATAGGGTAAATTTGTTTTCCACTCTTCTAAAGTTTCTTAGGAGCAGCTGACTCACACAAACCATTTTATTGCTTATATGGTGGCAATAACAACTTATCACTTAAAAACTACAATTCACAAATATACATTTACAAGAAATGCAAAGTGGAAACAAGAAAAAATGTGTAATCTAATTAAGGAGTCATTACACAGCTCATGACAAAAACTACTCGGTTGTAAACTTTGTTCAGACTTCAAAATTGTGATTGATGTTTCCCAACACAAAAACATCTCTGATGCACCAGATTCCGATACATATATGCATATGCTTATACATATACATACATATACATACATATATATACATATATATATATATATATATATATATATATATATATATATATATATATATATATATATATATATATATATATATATATATATATATATAATATATATATATATATATATATATATATATATATATATATTAACTATTGCCAGTAATGAACCATTCATCGTAATGAGTTTACCTTTTGGTGGTGAAGCACATGGTGTCGGTGGGAGAATGTTCCTCTTTCTACATCCTGGCCTGAGAGACGAACATGAGTTCCTTCCTTGAGCAGAGAACCAAAAGCCATGGCTTCTCCCAAGGCCCAGTCAGCTGTGCGAGATTCAACCATTTCCATGCGGCCTAAACCAAGAAAGATGTGAAGAGTTATAACTGGTCATATCAACAACATATAGCGATAACTTTCAGCATTCATTAGATATGATTCAACATTCAGTGCCATAAATACTGCAGAAGGCATTTCAAATAATGTCTTTTCAACTAACAACATGCTACCAAAATAACATAAGCCTTACTGTTGAGAATACGTTGGATGCCTCTGTGGATAACAAAGTCACTGGCATTAGGAGGAGCACTTGAGAACTTTTTGCCAATGTGCTTGAGAGTGTCCTCATGAACACCCGTGGGAGATATCTTCAGGGGATCCTTGCCCTCAAAGAAGCCGGACCAAGGTGAGTCAATCCAATGTTTGTTGAACACCTGAGTTTCTTGCTTTGCCACAGAAAAGGCAGTCTCGAGAATCTTTTCATATTTGTCCTTTACTTCCTGTTATCAAAAAGAAATCAGTGGATATAATTCAAAATGTGATTGATGTACCAATAGCTACAAGACCATATAAATTTTGCTTTAAATGAAGTCTTCATTTCCTCTAACAAAGATCTTTTCCATTTACAATATTCCAGCTGCCAGTTCTAGAATTCATATTTCTTTGGGATTGATGAATCATGCTGGATGCAGATTACAGTAAAAAGATGAGGTTTACCTTAACTTCCTCTGGAGTTACAACCCCTTCACTAATGAGCTTATCTCCATAAAGTTCAATCACAGGCTTCAATTTACGAATCCTAGTGTACATGAGTGGCTGCGTGAACATAGGCTCGTCAATTTCATTGTGACCATTACGTCTGTAGCACACCAAATCAATGACAACATCCTGAAACAGATAGAAAGAAACATTAATTAATAATTGTCTATGGTCTTCAAAGGTTAATCACAAATACATACTAGCAAAATGCAAATTTACAATTTCATCATTTACACTAACCTTGTGGAAAGTGCTGCGCCAGTCAGCTGCAACATTACAGACATGCATGACCGCCTCTGGGTCATCAGCATTTACGTGGAAGATGGGGGCATTGACGACGCGGGCCACATCTAAATAAATGTAAAAAAATATGAAGTATATTTGAAATTAATAACAAGAGAGTCCAGAAGAGAAAAAGAGAAAAGAAAACAAAATGACTTAACCACCAACGATACAAAAAGACAAGTTTACTAAATCTAAATTTGATAAGTATGTATATAAACTTTGTAACAAATTTTGCAAAATCGTACCAGTACAGTAAGGGGAAGAACGTGACATGCGAGGGTCAGTTGTAAAGCCAATCTGGTTATTGACAACAATATGAATTGTGCCATGGGTGGTGTACTCTGGGAGCTCTGACAAGTGGAAAGTCTCATAAACAATGCCCTGGCCTGAGAAAGCAGCATCTCCATGAAGAAGAATGGACAGCACCTAAAAGACACAAAATAATATCTGTGAACAGACTCGGAAACACTTCCTTTAATCATATAATCATATCATTGAATAAAAAATTCACCGTTAATCAACAAGGTGACAAATATCCTTGTTGAATCAAAAGTGTAAACCCTAGAATACATTACCTTCTTGCCCTCGGAGTCTCCATGGTAGAACTGCTCAGCTCTTGTCTTGCCCTGAACAACAGGGTCACATGCTTCCAGATGGGATGGATTGGCAACAATGGCGAGACGGATATTTTTGTTAGTCACGCGATTCAGTCGCTCTTGGTAAGTTCCCAAGTGGTATTTTACATCACCTGAACCCTGAAAAATTACAAAGAAAAAGATAAATTCAACATTTCTTCCCAGTAGAACAAATATGAAGTTAAACAAATATACTAACCACATAGCAATAATCTTTAAGTCCTTTCTTTGAATCTGGGTTAATCACAGAGATGATAGCCACTTATTAGGACAATTATTTACTTCACATTCTTTAAGTGAATATCTTACATTCAAAAGGATATTTCACTAAATTCTTTCTCAATTACCTCATCAGCACTCTCGAGTCCAGCAAACTGAGTGAAGATGTGCTCAAGGGGCTTCCTGCACACGTTGGCCAGTACATTGAGGCGGCCTCTGTGGGGCATTCCCATGACAAAGCTTTCCACTCCAAGGGAAGTGGAACGGTCAATCACCTGTAGTTGCAAATAGAGCATGCTAAGTTGAACACAGTCAAGAGAAAACCAGATTTACTGATAAAATATAACCTTTATAAAAGAATATAAATTTCATTTGCATCACTAGTAACAGTTACACTAACCTGTTTCATTGCAGGGATCAAGATCTCACAACCTTCCAAGCCAAAGCGTTTCTCCGATGAAAATTTACGGGCCAAGAATGCCTCAAACCTACAACAATAAAAAGATATTAACTAGTATCAAAGGGCATCTCATTCTAACCCAGCATCTACAGCATTATATATTTGATAAGCTGCCATATCAAAGAGCTGTATCGCATTCCTCCAGATACAGAAAAAAAATCATGACAAATATCTAATTATGAATAGAGTTTTATCTTTTTTATAATCATAACATACAAGGCCAAACTCTTTCGCTTATAAAGTTTAAAATCAATACATGAAAAATATTCAAAATTTAAGGCGAAGTTCATACCCATGTGAGCGAGTTAATCTTGCAAGAAGGAGACGTTTCTCCATAGAATCCATTGTCATTACACCTGGCGATTCAAACTTCTGACGAATCCAATTACATTGCTCTAGTGAATTGATAAACATGAATTCAACACCTGAAATGAAAAGATTAGCTTTAATATACTTTTATACGAGAGAGAGAGAGAGAGAGAGAGAGAGAGAGAGAGAGAGAGAGAGAGAGAGAGAGAGAGAGAGAGAGAAGAGAGAGAGAGAGAGAGAGAGAAAGAGAGAGAGAGAGAGAAGAGAGAGAGAGAGAGAAGAGAGAAAGAGAGAGAGAGAGAAAGAGAGAGAAGAGAGAAGAGAGAGAGAGAGAGAGAGAGAGAGAGAGAGAGAGAGAGAAAGAGAAGAGAGAGAGAAAGAGAGAGAGAAGAGAGAGACAGAGAGAGAGAAGAGAAAGAGACAGAGAAGAGAGAGAGAGAGAGAGAAGAGAGAAAGAGACAGAGAGACAGAGAAAGAGAGAAGAGACAGAGAGAGAGAAAGAGAGAAAGAGAGAGAGAAGAGAAAGAGAGAAAGAGACAGAGAAAGAGAGAGACAGAGAGAGACAGAGAGAGAGAGAGAGAGAGAGAGACAGAGAAAGAGAGAAAGACAGAGAAAGAGAGAAAGACAGAGACAGAGAGAAAGACAGAGAGAGAGAGAAAGAGAGAAAGAGAGAGACAGAGAAGAGAGAAGACAGAGAGAGACAGAGAGAAGAAGAAGAGAGAGAGAGAGAAAGAGAGAGAGAGAGAAAGAGAGAAGAGAGAGAGAGAAGAGAGAAAAGAGAAAGAGAGAAAGACAGAGAGAGACAGAGATACAGAGGACAAGCAGACAGACTCAGACACAGAGAAAGACAAAGAGCAACAAACAAACAAGCAAACTCACCAATAGAGCTACAATAGGAGAAAGATGTAGACTAATTTACATAAAGATAGACACACAAAAATATATCCAGGCAGAGAGAAACACAGCCAGACAGACATGTACTCAAATACAGACAGACAGCCAGACTGACATGTACTCAAATACAGACAGATAAACAGACAGACAGGTACTCTGACATACATACAGACTGACTCAGACACAGAGAAAGACAAAGACCAACAAACAAACGAGCAAACTCACCAATAGAGCGGCAATAAGCATTTTCTAATCTCTGGATGATCTCCTTGAGTGGCAGCTGTCTTTCCTTGCCTCCAACATAAGTTGACATAGGCAACTTAAATGAGCGTTCCATATCTTCTTCGCCTGTTTTAATGAGCAGGTCAAGTCATTAGTAAGGTTTAAGATACATAAGTATAGATAAAATGTTTACTAGTATTTTATATATATCCAATGTTTTGATAAATTAAAATTTTCAAATTAATTACTTCAGTTGTGTCATCTATTACAACTATATATACATAATCTTATATACATACATTTTATGTCATTCTCATGATCTCTATATCAATAACAAATATGTTTCCAAATATGTCATACCATCTAATCAAGTTAACTAAAAAGAAACAAACCACAGGCAAACCATAACAGTATCATACGCAACTATTCTCTCCCCCATGCCAGGGATAAAACAAATCTTCTGTGTTTTGTCTCTACTCTTAAATCACTTCTGACGAGATGGGAGGGGCTTAATAAACTGAAACTTGGGCTTTCCCCTGCTTCTGAACATGCACACATTCACTCTTATTTTTCAGCTTAAGGCTTCTATGAAAGACAATGCAATCATGGAGATAGCTTGAGCAATATCAATCATAAAGTAATATGTTCAGGCTGAGAACCAGTGGCCTGTCAACAGAAACTGAGATTCCCTAGTTTCCTAGACAATCAATCACTCTCCATCCTGTAAACTCAAAGAACAAAAGGTGACATGTTAATCCAACCCCCGATAGTGCTGGCTTGAAGAGAAGAATTGGTACGAAAGCAAGATACATCCTACATAGAAAACTACGGGGATTGTAAAGTAGAGAACCAGCAAAAACAAGCTGCAGAAGAATTAAACAGTGAAAGTATCAACATATATTTGTAAATTTCAATACCTGAAATTATCGATAGGAAGTCAGAGAAAGAGAGAGTGGGGAGAAAAAAAGACATGCAGCATTACTCCACGTAACAAAAACTTATCAGTTTGATCACCTAGTATCTCTAGTGTCAGTAAAATCATGAATGTCATGATTACCTTATACAATTGTCAATGCTCTCACAAGGTACTATACTGATGTAAAATATTTCTTTCAACATTATATATCTTGATCTAGATTAGTGAAAAGTAAATAAAATAAGAAATGGAAACAAATCATAAACATACATAATATACAATAATTTGGCAACAATAATCTTATTGAACAGACATTACAGTGTAAGGAAAACCGCTTGAGTTGCATGCTTTTATTTTCTGAAATTCAACTCGGTTTCTTCAAAATAATCATAAAATGCCTATCTGCAAAATCAAATGCCACTAATAATTATAATCTACGTGTTATTTTCCTTTAATATGTGAGTCATTACACTTTCCAAATATTAGCAAAGAACGTATATGGAAACTACTAAATTGTGCTGAAGCTCTTGGCTATACTTTAAGCATACCTAATTTTTCTAATGGAAGCCATTTATTAAATCCACAGTGCCATGTATGTTCCCACATACCATAACTTCCATTAATGGAAAGCATTTCATAGCTAGTGCTGTGAAAATCCAAGCACAGTGAGTGTTGGGTCCAGATTCCCTTATCAAAGTTTACACAGGAATTTTTCTAATATTAGGAGCAAAATGATAAAATACATACCTTTTATCAAACATAGCATATCAATATCTTTAAAGCATGAGCAACCACTTATGACAGAAGAAGAATGTAAAATGCCATTTGAAACATGCTTCTAAACAAGTAAATATAGAAAAGAAACAACAGGTTACACGAGAGAAAACCGCTGAGAAAGGATATGCAACAAAGAACACTGAAGGAAACCTCAATCATATGAACAAGACAAGCCCTGAAAGAACACTGACAGGACCAACAAAAGACATCCTACTAACAAAAACTAGTGGCAATAGCAGGGCAGTGCAGCAAATATTAGTTATACAATGAACTTCTTAAATAATAACATGCTCAAAAACATATCATGATCCAGCAACATATTCAAAAACAAGACAAAGGCATACATCTTATAATCAGGACAAAACATTACTGTAAAAATAGGTTTATGAGCAAGCTTTTACCTAAGAAGTACAGTATACACAAACTGTTCACTTGATACTTATGATAATTTTTCTCATGTCTTCCCCTTCTGATGATGTATACCATCTTTTATTTCTGGCAGATTATTCCTTAAACAGATACACAAGGTCTTGGGATTTTGCAAGTAGCAACATAGTTAACAAATGCATCTAGTCATGAATAACATTCAAAATGGTAAGTAGTATATAAAGGAGCACTAAAAATCAATACTAATACGACCCAAGCAGATAAGAGGCATAAAAAGTTGACAAACTTCATTGATTCAGACCATTTCTGTGTTGCTCTTAATGTAGCACAATTTTGTTAAGCCCTAAAGGATGTCCATCCTACATTTAGGTACTCTCAGGTGAGGATGTAAAGGATGCAGGGTAAACTGTACCAATATTTGCTCAAGCAGCCGCATATTATTATAATGCTCTTAAGCCTGATAATGCAGAATTTTATCATTCGATTCTAGAAATGCACCTCATTCTGTGTAACTTGAATTAGAGTACACAGAAGTAATTGTTTAGAGCACTGATATTCCTTAGCTGCATCAGATCACATAAACAGTACACCATTTAGAGCTAAAGGATATACTGACAGGTGGCATGTTTGTACAGACCACAGTACAACAGAACTCCTTTCCAAGTGGCATGCTCCAAGCTGTGTGCACTAAACAATTGTTCACTTGTTTGGTCATAACCAAGAAGTAGGCTTAAGTTGTAAAGTATATCAATCAGTAGTGTTGGCTTCTGCAGAGGAGTTAAGTCTACACAATGGTCTAACAAGGGAAAGGAATGTTAAAATCATAGCCATGAGATGCAGAAGAAATGTATCAAAACTTCAATGGCAAAATTTTTCTACATAATAAGCTACAATCACAAATCTTGATGGGTGAAATAAAATACATACATCATCTAACATGTTGAACCAACATTCAATTAACCCAATGTCGACGGGAAAATGGTGAGTTCCCTTTGACAATGCTTGGTTAAATGTTTCTGCATATAGATGGCTCTGCCAATGCTTAGCCACAAAGGAGTCAATTAGTAGATCTTGCGACCTCACTTTTCCTTGAAAAAGCGGGAAAATGTTGTTGTTTTTTTAACTAAAGCTATTAAGCTAACTAAATATATAAACATTATAATTACTATATTGTTACTGACATTACTAACAGCAGTATTAAATACTAGAAAATATCAAAAATCAAGGAAAAGGGTAAACATGTGAGACAGATAGTTCGCGTAATTGGCTCATTGGTGACAGTACTTGTGGAGCCATCTATATGTAAAAACAAATGCTAAATTCAACACCCACAATGGGCAATGGCATGTATGTACATGCCATGCCCTGCAGCTTGGGTTAAAAATATAATTGGAAAAAAAAAAAAAAAAAAAAAAAAAAAAAAAAAAAAAAAGTTAATGCACTAAACCAGACCATAAATCAACATATTAAATTTTAGCATACTGATTCATGCCCAGTCCCCCTGTACCAAGCACACAGTCCCCAGTTTGTAACCCAAAGAACTATACAATTGGTGACTGGTGGTGCAATCATGTTATCATTACACCATATGATGGATACAAATATCCATAAATTTTTCCTGTCATAGTAGACATGAAATGTTTGCATACTATCTATACAGATTTTGTACTGCTTTCAGAATGTTCAGAATGGTCTCATCACCCACTTCTGCGGGTATATTTTGAAGCCGTAAATAAAAGTTTCCGGGTGGCTACAAAATCGGCGTGCGGGGCTGGCCCGAACTCTGCCCGCACGCTGAGTCAGAGCGCGAGCCCCGATACAGCGTCACACTGGCGGGACATCCCACCTGGCATTTTTTCCCCCAGGTGTCTCATCGTAAATGGGTTAACTTTTTTATAAGATTTTTTTTTTTTTTTTTCATTTTAATTCCATTTATAACAATGGTTATTCTTGCTGTTGACATGCTGCCTGTTCATTTTCTGTTTAGTGCATTTTGAATGCATTCAGCAAGCTTGCAGATGATAACTGCTACGCTACTGCTGCACCACACAGCATACAAGCAGAGAGGAGTCTACCAATTCCCTTGGCAGAACAAAAAGGAAAACAGTTGGATGTGAACTTTCAATAAACCCTTTCATTTCATTTCATTCCCATTTCATTAAATTCCTTTTCTGGAGTGATTGCAATGTAATTTCGGTGCATCAGTATTTTGACCCACTGGATCTGGGCACTTGGCTTACTTCAGTGGCGGCTCTCACAGGTGTGTGGCTTGTAGGATGGGCATACACAAACACTTGTGTGCAGTGTCAAGTGTCAGTGTCCTTACAGAATTTTCATGACAGTGTATTCCCGTCATCCTGGCCCTGAGCCAAATTTTTTCATAACAGTATGTTCATGTCACCTGGTCCTCAAGCCAAATCTTTTCATGACAGTATGTTCATGTCACCTGGTCCTCAAGCCAAATTTTTTCATAATGTGATCACATCACCCAGCTCCATGGAGTTAACCCACTCATGATGGGTGACATCCTATTTTATCATGGTTAGGCCATCCTGCATGCCAGGATAACATCTTATCACATTAAGCCTGCTCTAAGTTGTGTGCACCAAACAGTTCTTCACTGTTGCTTGGCCTTGGCTCTGGCCAAAAGCAGGGCTAGAGCCAAAGTCAGTCTTAAGTTCAGTCTTCAGATTAGATCACTCTATTATGTGTTGTAAATAACTATTGCAAACAAGGGCTCTTCAGTTGCTTGTGGGGTTCCTTCATCATTAACTTTATATTTTTTTTCTTGAATGATTAGGAACAGTTCCTCCTTTAAACCTGTTACACATCTACAATACAACTCATCACCTTAAGATCAATTTTTAACAAATGTAACCAGATCACATAGTGAGAAATTCCTGTACAGTAAAAAAGATATATATGTTTTTCTTTCCTTCTTTCTTTCCTTGAAAGTTAACATACTGACAACTTCTAATGAATATGTGAAGTAATAGGACTCTACTAGAGCAGTCTAAAATCAAAGAGAACTTTTTTTTTTCTTACAACTTAAACTTCTCTTAAAAATCACCTTCAATATTGATACTTGTTTCCATTCAGTAGCACATCTTTGTGATAAAGTACAGATTTCCAAGCAAATTTTCTTTGGTCTCTTCAATTGTCTGAAACTGAATTTTGACTTTAGAAACAAAAACAATTTTGTTTCATATGCTCAGACACTTAATAAATACATATATATTTTTAAGGTCTTCTGGCATTTGAGATGGAAATGTGAGGGAAAAGACGACCTGAGGCAGGGGCAAACAAAATCGTAAGCTGCACCAAATAGGCACACTAATTAAGACATATCCCCTTCAGCCATCACTTTTTGGTAGTTCAGAGTAATTTTTATCCCCAAGCATTGTACCGCACCTTTTCCCCACCAAAAAAAAAAAAATTCACCCTGAAAAGTCACAAAATGCTGACAATATAAGAGACAATGAAAATTCCAGCACAGTATCTGCAAAATATTAGATGTAGTCTATCAGTAGTGTAGGTGACTATTAAAAAAAAATCTGATTTTGTTGTAAGTAAAGCAATATTTTCCCCCTTTTAATTCAACCCAATGATGCCAGGATGGCATGCCATGTCATGTCCACTGTGATTCTAGTTTATCAATTTTCTTTTATACAGATATGACTCCATAAGAGCTTAGTCATCAAATCTCACCTATTAAACCTTTTCCTTGACTTACAGATAAGAAAAAAAAAAAAATAAAAAAAAATTATTTCCTACTGATAAAAAAAAAAAAAAATGCCAATGGTACTGACAATAACATATAATAATCCATGTCCAAAATAATTGTAATGACAGTAATGACATGGCTTTAATAAGCAATAGAAAATAATAAAAAAATTCCCAAAAATACAAGGAATTGGAATACCAGATGAGTTCAGGCTCCTTGATGACTAAGAATTTGTGGAACCATATATGTCAACAAAATTCACAAAACAATTACTGTGGACAGTGCAATTGCCTGTCACCAATACATCAACTTCTCTATATACGAATCTTGAGTAAATAGTATACAAAGAAATAATAAACATCAAAACTTTCCATGGTAAAGCAGGCTTCAGCTGAAAATAATCAGCGGCATTAGCTTTAGGTTAGCATTAGTAAAAAGCCAAAAAACAATTTATACGTAACACATTGTACTGGGTTAATTATAAGCATCTGTCCTCACAGTGTGCCAGTGTTAATTCAAGTTTTAGCACCTCAGCATAGAACTAGATCCCCCGTACTTTCTGCTTGACGAAGCACATCAAATGGGTGGAGCCTAGTTCTTGTGGTGAGCAGGAGGGAAGTGGGGGGGAGTAAGTGCGCTGTAGTAGTTGTTCTTCTTATGAGAGTTTTTGCCTCTTGGTCTATACTAATCTTTTTTTCTATTCTGGTGTAGCCAAATACAAGAACGGAAAAAGGAAAGAGATTAAGGCAATCTACAGGAAGGAAAAGAAGTATTCGACCTTTCTTCATTTTTGGGTGTGAGTATCATAAGCTGTCAAAACAGAAGGTACAAGAAAAGAACACAAGAAATTATGAAGGAGAAATGAGAGAGAAGACTTGAAAATCAGAAGAGGGGTTTTAGGTGAATGAAGATGGGAAGAAAATAGTAAAAGAAGGAAATAATAGGCAAGCAAACAGATATGGAAGGGTGAACTGATTGATAAGGAATTAAGAAAAATGATACAAATAAGAGTACCTAAAAAAATACCTACAAGTAAAAAAAAAAGAAAAAGAAGAAAAGGGAAGAAACCATGACTACCATTTATCCAAAAATCTGTTCCAAACTAAATTTGGAGAAAATCCAAGCTTATAAAAAATGCTTAGATAAAACACCATATCAAAGTCTAAGGAGAACCACTATTAAAAATATATATATATATGAATAGCTGAACACATTACAAAAAGCCACCAAGGAGTGAAAATCCAACCACTCCATAATTAAAAAAAAAAAAAAAAAAAAAAAAAAAAATTGAGTACTCATGCAAAAAGTATGGGAAAATTTTCACATATTACCAAAATTTCCATATAAAGCTACAGCAAGCAACCATGCCCATGAAAAGAAAAAGCAATAATTCATGCTAAAGTTTGAGAAGGCTAATTCTGTCAATAGTGAATAATGAATTAATTAAATGGCAGTCACCATTCTGATAATCTAAACATGCCTAAAGAAAAAAAGATCTTGTGGGATTCTTACTAATCAACAAAAAATAAAAACCTATTAAAAAAAACTAATCAGACCAATCAGGCAAAGTAAATAATAGAACACTAAAGTATCCATATTATGAAAAAATATATATATAAAAAATTGCAAACCAAAATACACAACAATCAACAAGTGTACATAATCTTTTCAAATGCAGAGAGTACGGGGATCTACACACCCTTACAACAAACCCAATTAATCATGCCTATTAACAATGCTCTCTACGCTCTGGTCCTTTCTGGTCATGAGCTCATGTCTTAGTTACCAGATGAGACTTACTGAAACGGTTCATATAATTGCGGACGACAAGCTGCCTGCCCTGGGAGGGATCCACTGTGTTGATGCCAAGTGGATCTAGATTAGCAATGCTGTGGCCGCGGATCTGTAGGGTAGACCATCGGCGTCATCCTAAAGCTATCTAAATATCCACATTCATCAGTGTTCATGTGCACCAACTTGGATAACTTGGCATTCGCTTGCACATGAATAATGTTGACTTACCCAAAATCAACAAGAACTGGTTCTCAACACCAACTTTTGTAAGCCTACTTAACTACCAGTTGGGAGAAATAAGATGCTTAAAGAAAGAAAAAAAATAATAATAGTAGTCCACATCCCTTTAGGGGTAATGCAATGAAGTACACAGAAAAACTTTGCATCCTTAATATCTGTTGCAGATCTTACCTGGTTAAATCCAATGGTGTTACACAAAAGACTACAACAAATACCCAATTCTGAATCAACCTGAACATATCAATCCGATTTTTGTTGCATGCTCTCAGTAAAGACAGACACAAATTGGTAAATCCCCTGTCATGTAGAGCAGTACTTATCTCAAGCAAGGCCACTACCACAGTGGATGAAGCACATCAGCTGCTACTAGAACAGACAATGTGTTACTGGGATACTAACAGTATTCAAAAAGAAGTTTAAAGAGAGGGAAACCCTGGGGAATGTTAGTAGCTACAGGCAAATCAAGCTAACATTGACAAAACCACTACTTAAAAGTACTGCAGGATTTTCAAATCATTTGAGCGATCTACCCGACTCTCCAGCTTGAAAATACCTTCCTCCCTTAGAAAAAACAATACACCACAGAAAGTATCTGCATGCACAGAGCCCTCAAAACATATGCACCTTTTTAGAGACATCTATTTCTAAATAAAATAAAAACTCCCTAAACTATAACTCCTGTTGTGCTAATCAAAGTTCAAACCTGATACCTTGCCAGCACTCACCTGTAAAACTACCCAATCAATCAGGTATGTATTTTGTAAAAGAAGAGAAAAGGAAAAATCTAACACCTAACACTTGATTATTATGAATTATTAGCATTACCGTCGGCAATTAACGACCAATTTTTACCCACATCTGTTCATCAATTTTAGGTTATCAAATAAGCCAGGTATTCTTCCAATAAGACAATATTTACATCTTGACTTATTCCACCTAAACAACTTATATACACTATGCAAAGAAAGGTTACTGGTGCATCACACATCCATTTTCCAATCAATTGTTTTATCTCAGACAGCCCAGTGACAATGCTGACGCACTCAACCATACAAAAGACACCATCACCATAACTGTACAGAAGTGCCGTGATTGCAATATTGTACAAAAGTGTCCACTAAAGGATGTCTAACCCACATCCCTGAGATGAGCTGTTTCTTACAGTTCATCTTAAAGGCATACCAAATGCATCAACATAGGAGCGGACTACTGTTCTGGACGGCAGCGTGGTGGGGGGACGGTCCTTGAGGGCTTCTCGGTCTATGCCAAGTGGATCCAACGCTGCTACCAAATGCCCACGAGCCTGTTATTATACCCGGGTATATGCTATATGTTAGTGCCTAAGGATGTTACTAAGATACATTCCTCACACTTAGAAAACAAATTATTTCTGTCCCAAACCTAATTTGCTTCCGGTGATTAGATATATATATTTCCTGATCTATAGAGAAGCATTTAACATAAAAACAAAAGAGAACAGGTATAGAAAGATACATAACACTATCCCCCCCCCTATAAAGATGTAACAATATCTAATTAACTACTTATGTCAACCAAAAAAAATATAATGATTGATACCTTCATATCATTCTATCCTAATGTTTTCCCTAAGCCAAAAGCTACATACCAAGGAAAGCAAATTAGGTTTGTAACAAAACACATGCAAAACCATATCTTAACTCAAAACTGAATAAACAAAAACTCAAGGTACACCATTTAATACATAATAAAAACTGAAGGTATTCAAAATTGTAACTTTGAAACACCATGACACACAAACATCACTGCACAGATACTATCAAACAACCAATCTACCAAAATAATTCAATAACCTATAGTTCCACTGTCCTTTGACATCGCTTTCCACATACGAAAGTATATTTAAATGAAAACAAAACATGATGTAACTTTCCTATGCTAAAAGACTTGAATCCAAAAATTACTTGTATGAATACTTATATTAGAGAAAAACAAATGTAGAGCTGAGACCTTATGTTTACCAGAAAGAAGATATCATTGGATCCAAGGACAATGGAACTTATTTCTACACAGGGTATATCATTTTAACATTCCCCTGATGAGAAATAAAATTATAAGGAAAATGAATGTAACTATGAATTTCAAAACAATAATAATAATAATTATAATAATATAATAAATAATAATATAATAATAATAATAATAATAATAATAATAATAATAATAATATAATATAATATAATTTCTAAAATTTAAGTGTGTGTGTGTGTGTGTGTGTGTGTGTGTGTGTGTGTGTGTGTGGTGTGTGTGTGTGTGTGTGTGTGTGTGTGTGTGTGTGTGTGTGTGTGTGTTGTGTGTGTGAGAGATGAGAGAGAGAGATGAGAGAGAAGAGAGGAGAGAGAGAGAGAGAGAGAAGAGAGAGAGAGAGAGAGAAGGAGAGAGAGAGGAGAGAGAGGAGATGAGAGAGAGGAGAGAGGAGAGTGAGAGAGTGAGAGAGTGAGAGAGAGAGTTGAGAGAGAGAGAGAGAGAGGAGGAGAGAGAGAGAGAAGAGAGAGAGAAGAAGGAGAGAGAGAAGAGAGAGAGAGAGGAGAGAGTGAGGAGAGTGCAGTGAGTAGTGAGTGAGTGAGAGTGAGTGAGGATGAAGAAGAGTGAGAGAGAGAGGAGAGAGAGAGAGAGAGAGAGAGAGAGAGAGAGAGAGAGAGAGAGAGAGAGAGAGAGAAAAGGAGAGAGAGAGAGAGAGTAAGCAATTACGTTTGATTGATTTGTAAATAAAAGTATGTTATATGTGAGTCTGTAAGTGTGTACATACACATAAACATATATGTGAATACTAGCACATTTACTGTAAATAAATACACATACAGACAAAAACATTAGAGACAAAAATAATGCACAACCTGATAAAACATATTGTAGGGGAGATTAAAAAACATGCTGCTTTAAGCTAATTTCAACACTCTTATAAAACAAAAAAAAAAAAAAATACACTGCATCTAAGTAATCTAATAACCCTTCCTAAAACAGCAGATTCTTAATAAGTAAAAACTACCACTCTGCCTACCTTTGCTACCTATCATGCTGACATGTACAGATCAGGTCTACATTTCAAAATAGAAGTTCTCTATAGCTAACATTATACCTTTCTAACTGGAAGTATCTTAGTCTGGTTCAAATATTCAAATGGACAGGAAACTATGCTCTCCATATTTTGATTCCCTCCCCCCTTCCATTAGCTGTATCTCTTATGAAGTCTAGTACTGTAAAAGCACTAACGAAATATTTTAAAAAATCCTGGCTTTCCCAAATTGTTGCATATTACTCATATGACATTCATACAAATACATACATAAAGGCAGACTATAAACACCAAGCCACAGGAGTCTGGGAGACCTAACCGTACATGATAATGACAGTGCCTGAAGACTGTATTTTGGTCCATGTGATTCCCATGAAGCAATCATATCCGAGGAGATAAGTAGATGGCAATTAAAATGTTGCTCCTTTAGGTGTGTCTGGTAGGATATTTTGCAAGTTCAATAATCATCAGACACGTAAAAAAAAATCCTGAGTGTAATGAAGGTAATATTATGTTGTCAAGAACATAGAAACCCTGTGATGACTCAGGCCCAATTTTAAATAAGGTGCCTTAACAGCTCTAGTAATAACTTTCTATAATAAATGAGTTGCTTTGTGGGAGAATACATATGAAATATGGCTTGATAAATATATAAATGGTGTTATCCAGTAAAGGACATCAACTAATTTTTTCATCTACTTAAAATAAAGTTCCACTTCTTCATTCTGTGGGCACTTATAACTTGACACTCTTTTGTCCTTAGAGATTAAACACAAACACAGAAAAATGGCAAAGCATTTACAACTTTCTAGTCTCAAATTTCTCCCATACAAAGTGTTAAAAATCTATCTCACAAAAGACAATAGTGGGAGGGTATTAAATTCCCGTGGCAGAGTGTTCACAC